TTTTTGTATTTTAAACCCGAATTATTTTTTGTTTTTAATAGTTTCTCTAACTTAGAAACTCTCTATCTTTTTTCAAATTTGAAGTATCATATACCATGTGTCTTATAATTTGATATACTGAGAATTCTCAGAGTGGTGACATTTTCTCCTTTGTAAACAGCAATAGCAGTCATTGTAGTATTTATTTATCTCTAGTTTTAGCTGTAAATTTTATTCTTTTATATTTTTAGTGTGGCTATTGAAATGATGTCTCATCATATTCTCTGAAGAAACAATTAATCTTGTCTGAATCTTTAATAGTGTGAAATAAAAGATGCTAAAATATATAAATTTTTCTTAAAATTATTAGGGATCAGAAGGGAATGGAAAAGTGTCATTGACTATCATTTCTGAACTTTGTTATATTGAGGAGAGTAAAATTATTTGTTCCCTAATTTAGTGAGAACTTCAGTTAAAATGAGTTTTGGAAAACTGTATATTCCATTGATTTGTCCTAAAGTCAGGCAATTCTCCACTAATATTATGTTTAATGGAGAGAAAGAGAAATTCCTATACTGCTCTAATATCACCTTCTGACACTCCTTTCATTTTAAGTGTCTGATTCCAACATTTCTGAACTTATTACCCAATAAGAAATAGGTTATTTTCTTTTACAGTTTCCATGACAAGTTAAATTTAGAAAACTTTGGACCATGTACGTTGTTATAGAACTACAGAATTTGAAATTAAAGAAGACCTTAATGATTTTCCAGGTTTTGAATTAAAGTAATCAGTACATGGCAGAAGACTGTGCCTGACTAAAGCATTAGTCAAAGCATTAAAGAGACACTCAATTTTCAGATATGCGCTATTCTTAGTGATTCTTAGTATTTTAAATCATTTTCTGTCCATTATATGTCTGCTACCAAACAAATCAAGCACAATCTGAACATCACTAGGAATAGTATAGACATATATTAATTTTCTAATATCTCCTGATATAGAAAAATAGTCATTTAAATATATGAATGGTTTTGGGGAGAAGACATCAGCAATATCAATATAAACCTAACCCAGTAATTTATTGATCAGGGGGAAATAAGAGTTGAAAGAATTTACTGTGCTACTTTACTTAGTATTTAACTTTAAAACTCAAACACAATATTAAGATTTATGTGGTGGTTTAAATTAGGCACTCATCTGGAAAATGAAAATTTTATTACCTACTATTTCACTTTAAACACATACTATGTATCTCATCAGTATTCCTTCAGGTAACATTGGAGTTGTATTGATGATGTATATTGAGTTCTAGGGTCACTGAGAGGTCAAATCAGAAGAAATCCTGGAGTACTAAGCTCATGATGTCCAAAATGCTGGCTTGTGGCAAGTATTCCTGGAAATCCCTATGTCAAATACTCAGAAATTCTCCACTGACTTTGGAAGGTGTCTAGAGGATTTAGTGTCTTACTAGGATGCTGGAAATTCACCAGAAAACTGGAAAGTAGAAAAGCTCTACAAATGACAAATATTTCACATTAGTCTTCTCAAATAGCTCTCAGAAATGACAGGATCACTGTTGGGTGAGTTTCATAACCTTGGTATTAAAAGGGTCACTTATTGCATATTATTTCCTTTTCAATATAAGTACCTTATTTTACATGGAAGTTTTAAAAAGAAACTTAAAGAAATTATTTTCCTAAATTATATGATAACTGGATAGTTCAGTTTTTATTAATAATGCCTGAAGGAAAAAAAACCCCTTAAGCTTGGCTTTTCTGTGAAGGCAAGAAAACTTTCAAATTTACAGCACTATCTCACTGTCCTCAGTGTCTGCTTTCTTATCTACTGTCTCTATTAAACCAGAAGCTTCTTAAAGGGAGGATCTGGTTGGCTCATTCATCCACTTACCAGATACTTTCAAAATACCTACTATGTGTCACACTTTCTGCTAATCCCTGAGGGGGGGGGGGGACTGTGAGCCCTCACGGAACTGAGAGTTCTGCAGGAGACATGTTAATCCAGAAATCACACTGTCAGTGATATGAAGCAAAGATACATGGAGCAGGAGACTGGTATGATAGTAAGAGGCAGCAATATGATTAGAGAGGCCAGGAAAGATTTCCAGAGAGGAATAGTGGGACTGAAATCTGAAGCATGAGAAATGTACTCCATTCTGGATGAGAACTGAGGATGAGTGTCTTGTGTGGATATCCTCAGGTGCTAAATGTAGCACATGCAAAGGGCCTGTGCAGAAATAAGCTGAAACTGCAAAGAAAGCAAGAAATGTTCTGGACAATGAGGATGGGTTGGTCCAGAAGGAAGGCAGTACGGAGTGTTCACATACTCAAATGAAGACGTCTGGTGTCTATGCTAAAGAAATGGAAACCACTGAATATAAAGGAGTGTGATATGAGAGACAAGTGTTTGGGGGAGATAAGATTGTGCAGAACATAGTTTAGAGAGGCCAGAGGAGATTCAGAGAGAATGGTCACTATGGTCTTGGAGTACCCTAGGCAAAGGTGTATAAAATGGCCTCCATGTAGCAGTGGAGACAAGAAAATCTTCATTTCTCAATGTTCATGTCATGAGAGAATGCCTCACACATAGCAGGCACACAATGGATGTTTACTGAATGATGCACTGAAGGCTCTAGATTTATCTTCATGTAAAACCTAAAGCCCTCAAGGGACCCTGATATGCACACACCTGTTCACCATTCCTGGCGCTGCTGAAGTCTTAGTTATCATAGTCTGCTTCCTGTAAAGATGACTGAAGGTTTAAACAGGCTGTTAGTGGGAGAGCTTGAGAATCCTCTGACTGCCTTGAAATTAGTAATTAGAATTTCTAGTTAGCCAAGTGGGAAGAAATGGTGAAAATAAAAACAGCACTACTTTAGTCAAAATAGAGTCTTTAAAATGGCAAATGGGATCCTTGTCACTTGTCAGCCTGTGTAGGTCCTACTGATGTCCTGAATAAATTTCCAACTTAAAATCATTAGCAAGCATTTCAGAATTAAAACAGGGAAGCCTATATTTAAACAAGATGATATTTTCTTTCTGCTTTTCCCACTATAAAATATTCTGCTTGATTCTTCAGAAATTTGTGGGGAATACAGCTTACCCGCCCTTAGAAAAACAAAAAACATACCTTACCTTTTCCCAATATAAAATGCAATGGCTTAAAATCCTCCAAAAGAACAAATGAGATGTAAGAGCACTATTAATCTTTTCCTTTCTTACATAGGTGCTTCAATGTATAAGAAATATTTTAAAGTAGATCAAATATACAAACAAATATGGAAGTCCAAATTTTGGTAGTCCTCATTTTCGATTGCAGAAAAAAATTTGGCTACAAATAAGATTCAGAGATATACCTGCAATTTGGCAGCCAAGTTGGAATAAATATTCCATGACTTATTAGATGCTGCTAACCACCATTATTACCATCAGCAGGAGGCATATTTTGTCTATTTTAATGCTCACTCTTATCTCCAATCCCTGATTCTGTCTGTCTTTCTGTATATCTTTACCCTTACTCACCATCACTGAACCCAACTATTTCTTTGTTAATCTCAACTTATTCCTCCTAGGTTAGGTCATGAGATTTTTAAACCAAAACAGTACAGGAAATATGCTTAGATAATTCATCTATTTCCTACCAGAATGCAAGCAAATGATATAAAGGTAGGATGAAAGAAATGAGATGAATATGACCATATACAAACATGTACTGCATATGTGCTATTAGATTTTCTTTTTAAAAAAAGTCACAAAGTAAATACCTGGATTAAACTACTTCTGATTCAGTCTGAACACGGCAATATTATAAAGATTTCATTGTCCATGTATTTAAATAGTCAAGTCCCCTATTTTGGTTATGTAATTTGATTTGTATCAATAAGATCTAAAATATGATTCAAATAAATCTAAAATCAAACTCGGAGGCCTTATTGTGAAAGCTGTAAGCACTTCAAAATTCATTATCTCACATTAGATTTGATGTACAAAATGTATCTCTAAGATTAGTGACTTTAACTTACTATAAAAATGAAAAAAAAAAAGACAGACAATTGGAAGTCCCTTGTCCAAATAATTCAGATGGTTAATTTACAAAACCAAGACTTAGATCTAGGTTTTTCATATTCAAAGACCACTATCCTTCCAGGACATTATATTAGTCTAAAGCTAGGTGATAGCTGTAAGGTTTAAATGCTTAAGACTTAATAATTCTCTTCATCAGGCAAGTCTGTATTACAGTATGTTCAGATCAGAGTATGTTAAAGGCCTCTTGGAGTTTATATTATCCTAAGGCAAATGCTGAAGCATTGGAGACATGTTTAATAATAGAAAGAATTTGTAATTGTGTAACAGCACATAATAGTTCGCAAATGAATTCCTATTAAAAATAAAAGCAATAGTGTTTAAAGAGTAAGGGATTTAGAACACAAAGCCTAAATAGAAATATTAGGGTCACAAAGAGATGGAATGAATATTAAAGTTCAGGTATTTTCCTCAATAGGAATGACAATGGATATAACACATCTATTTTCAACTATCAAACCCCTGGATTATATATTGAAAAGGAAAAGCAGGAGTTCAGGAACAGGCATAGTTAACCATAGTAATGGCAGTCTACATATGGTTCCTTGGAGATGGTTCTTGTGCCATTCAGAAATTGGCACACTGGAAGTTTCTGGGACGTTGGAAAGGTTCTGGCTTGACCTGAACAATGACTGAATGGATGTACGTGTGTGTAAAATTTCATCAATTTATTCTTAAGATTTTTGAACTTTATCATAATGAGATATAAGAAAACAAGAATAAACCATATATACGGAAGTTAGAAATAGCACAACAGAAACTTTTATTATGCTTATTAGTAAGAACGCAAAAATGCAGAGAAGTCCCCCATAAGAAGTACATTTAACTAAATAGTAATCTCTAAAGACAAATGGAGAATGCTTAAAACCACTGTTATTCTGGGAAGGTTAAACAGTACATGAAAATCTAGTCTAAATAATTTTCCAAGATATTGTTCTCTTTTGAAAGAAGTCCAGAAAGGCAACTAGAAATTATTTTGATAATAATTGTCCTTTTGATTTTAAACAACTGAACAATGTAAACACTCTGGCAGTCTATATGAATATACATTTTAATTACTAAATTTAAGAGCATTGAATATTGCAAATACTAGGACCCAAATACTACAGCATTAGCTAGTTATACCAGGAAGCTAGCATTTCTCAGAAACCGTAAAGAACTTAAAAGTTATTTGTGTGCAGGTGTTCAAGTATATACATACGTAACCCTGTTTATTCAAAATGGCTGTCATAGAAATGAATTATTTCACCTTAATTTTTCTTCCAAATGTAATTGAATGTATAATATCTCTTATCAATATACCTCTATATGTTTTCTTGGTAAAGTTTTCCAACATTATCTTAAAACCTGTGCACTAGAACAAAGGGCTTAAATTTGCTTTGGCAATTTATAAAATCAGATGTGTGATGTGTAAGACAGGAATTATGCCAGATGGTATAGGCTTTTAAAGCCCCACAGCAGGGAAAGTCTGCAGAAAGTGAGCACCCACCCTGCTTGGCTGTCCAGAGGCAGGTGCTCCGGACCAAGGACTTCAGCTACGTGAACTCTTGGACACAAAGAAAAACTGAGTCTTGGCTGAGTGCTGCTAGAAAAATCACTTTTGCCATCTTGATTATGGAGCTCCCATGTTTGAAATGCGGTAAACATGCAAATCTGTAGTCAACAGCATTAAAAAAAGTGCATTTTAAAAGTCTGATTTACAACAGCTCATTATTTCATCTACCAAAAGTTTTTTAAAAAATCCAACAGCCTGGTTTTGATTTTACCCCTGAAATAAAATATGGTGGAACTTGCCATTTTCATTCATTACTCTTCATGCCTTTTTGATTTTTAATTATTCTTTGGACTAGCATAAAAAAGACATGGAGCCCCATATCACCATAAATAATGCTTATCAACAACCTCAAGGACCTTGTCTTGGCCTATGACAACCATGCATGCAGCCATGCAAACATGCATTCATGCAACATTGCAGCACACAACATAGTGCGAAATGGCAAAGAAAACCAAGTGCTAGCCATGCAAATCATTTTTCCAAGGGTCTCCTTACCAAACAGTGAAATCCTATGCCTGACAAGAACTCCAAGTTTGCAGAATAGGCTGAAGACAAAAGTAAAACAAAAGAGAAAAGGGAAGGGGGGAAGGGAAGGTAGAAAAGATAGGGAGAAATTTTTAAAATAAAAAAAGAAGAAAAAAGAAAAAAAAAAACAGCTGATATATGAGCCGGAAAAAAGCAACATGATGTCACGCAGAAAGAATCACTTCTCTGAGCAGAATGTGGAATAAAGGTATTAAAGAAAGAGTCTTTGAGTGCGTATCTTTAACAAACATGGTTAAAAAAGCACATATTATAAGTAAAGAAACCAAAAAAAATTGAAAGCAAAGCTAATTAATATAAAAGCAGTCTATATGAACCCCATAAGAACATAACTACTGAAAAACCATAAGGAAAACTTTAATTGTATCTTCCCAAATACATCACTGGATTTCTAGATTTTTAAAAAATTATGGACATTACTTAAGAGAAATATGGTGCTTTGCATAAAGTATTAAATTTTATGTGCTTTGCTGCTCAAAATGTCCTTCTTTCCCAATCTTGATCACAGACTTTACACATTTACCAGACATCCAGTGAATTCAGACACAGTGAAGTAGAAATAGAATTTGAGCAACTGATAATCACTCAGAAGATAGCGCAGATGTGATAATTTAAAGGATTCTTCATGCTAATGAAGAAACTGAGTATGTTTCTTATATCTTCTAGAACATGTTCCTGGGGAGCCCCTCCAGGCAACTGGCAATGGGAGATTCTGGTAACAATTACCAGTATTCATCATTCAGCATCCCGGTCCTGAATCTGTCGCCTCTCAGATCAGATTCCTGAACCTAGGACAGTCTGGAAAGCCTGTCTCTTCACCAAGCCTCAGTTCAGGAGGCAGGCTCCCTCAGGTCCCTCTATTAGGAATCACATCCAGGCTCCACTACCTCCTACTCTACCCATACCTCAGGACTCAACTGCAGAATTTTTTTTTTTTTTTTGGTACCGGGGATTGAATTTGGGACCTTGCACTTTTGAGGCAGGTGGTGGAACCACTGAGCTAAATCCCTGGCCCCACTGCAGCATTTTCCATTTTCTACCTGGCACTTGATCTTCCTGATGATAACTGACATTAGTTTCACACCTACCCACACTTCTGAGCTCTCAGGAGCAGTGTCTTATCCTGGCCAATGCTTCTCAGTAAACTAAGCTTGAAGAAGCATTCGTCAATTCCCAGGTAGACCAGAGGACAGGTAGACCTCTACTGCCCCTGTTTTTATAGGTTCTTTAGGTAAACTCTTCATCACCAGCAATGCTCAAATTCCCAGAGCACCCATATTAGAGCTGCACAGCAGCAATGGAGGCAAATGAAGGCAATCAACCCAAGGCAAGATGGAAAGAAAGGGCAGCGAGAAGGACCCATTTGTGTGGATAACTTCTTACAGTAAGTCTGGCCATCCTGGCCCACTTTTGTATCAATGTGCATTAATTTATTGATGAAAATGAATGATATAGGGAATTTTGTAGTTTTTACAGGAACATGTACAGCCAGAAATATCTGAGGCTTTGGTAAATCTCTTATACCAGTGAAAAGTTCTAAAACTAATGACTCATTCAAGTAGCTACTAGATGAAGATTAGACACTATATCCTTGACTTGCATTATTTAATGCTATA